GGAAATACCCATCCACCCCATCCCCACATACACACATACATACGTATACTTTTTGCCACACATACCTCTCAGGCAACAGGTTGGCTTTTAGGGGACAATTATGCTCCTTCTTTGTACTTTGAAGGGTGCCCTTGTCAATCATTTAAATCATTTGTCACCTGGTTAAGCAGTGATGGCGCACAGGGAACCAGTGAAGAGACTTAACTTGCTCAGGACTCTATGTCTTGAGAAATTTGCCTTAATTGGTTTATGTGCGATTATTGCTTCTGTGGAGTGAAAAATGGGACTTAATTGCTTCATTGAACAGACATGGCCTCTCTTTTGGTTTCTAACTAGAAAGTTGTAAAAACCATGTGTTGTATAGGAAAGGAAGCAAATCTGATCAAATAGAAACCACTCATTTCAGCTCATTTGCTGAACTTTCTGGATTTCTTAAAGGACCAGTTCTCCTCTTCCTGAGGGCATTGTTCCTTTCACTTTAGGGATGGAAGTGCAGCCTCGAGAATTCTGAGTCTATGAGGTGCCTTGGATCACAGGGCCTTTATAGAAAAGGCTACCACATGGGGGATCCCCACCAACTTTCTGAGACCCCTCTGTGGACCAGGAATCATGCAGTCTCCAGTAATCCTGAGCCCTCAGACTAACTGCTTCCTCCTCTGCAGCTGATGTGGTCCTGGACCCTGACACCGCTCACCCTGAACTCTTCTTGTCCCAGGACCGGAGAAGTGTGATACGGGGCCTCTCCTGGCAGAGTGTTCCTGAAAACCCAAAGAGATTTGACTGTCGGCCTTGTGTCCTGGGTCGGGAGAGCTTTGACTCAGGGAAGCATTACTGGGAGGTGGAGATGGAAAATGTGATGGTGTGGGCTGTGGGCGTTTGTAGAGACAGCGTTGAAAGGAAAGGGGAGGCTCTGTTGGTTCCTCAGAATGGCTTCTGGGCCTTGGAAATGTTTGGAAACCAATACCGGGCCCTGTCCTCCCCTGAGACCATCATCCCCCTGAAAGAGCGCCTTCACCGAGTGGGCATTTTCCTGGACTACGAAGCTGGAGATGTCTCCTTCTACAACATGAGGGACAGATCACACATCTACACATGTCCCCGGTCAACATTTTCAGGGCCCCTGAGACCCTTCTTCAGGCTGGGGTCTGATGACAGTCCTCTTGTCATCTGCCCAGTGTTCACAGGGGCTCAGGGGGTCTCAGTGCCTGAGGGAGGCCTGATCCTGCACAGGGCAGGGGCCCACCGCCGGCACCAGGACATATTCTTTGGTCTCAGAGCCATGTAGATATCTCTTGGCCATCTCCATTATCACAGCACAGACCCCCTGGTGAAACAGACCCTTGTTTCCTCTTCCATGTAAGAGAATGTCCTTCAGCTGCCCTTTGACACCCACTCCAGGCCCCAACACTACCTCTCCTCATTAGGTTTAGTAGCTCATTTACTGATAATCACCAGGCTGGTCCAGTCTCAGAAGAGCTCATGCTGCCACAGGACTTTAGCATAGGAGGAAAGTGTGTTAAGGTGACAGGCTAAAAACCTGCTGTTTTAACATCAGGATGGCATGTTCAACCTAATGCTTGAATTGGCACCAGATGCTATGAGCTTGGAGTGAGAGAATGGAACTCACCAGGATATTAAGAGGTGCAGAGAAACTACAGGACCTCCTAAAGGTAAGGGGAAACCACAAGTGGTGGTCAGAGATAGAGGAATTAGGACCAGAGATCTGGGAGGAGGCCAAGATTGTCGGGCGGTTACAGCCTCACTATGACAGTTAGGGGTCCCTGGAACTGAGCCCATTTCCACCCCACCCTCAAAATTTCCAGACTGTATGGCAAAACTCCCTAGGAATAGAACTTGGAATGAAAAAAGAAGGAGAGGGACACATGTGATTCTGACCTGACTCAATACATAAATGAGCCAGTACTCAATTTTTGAGTATGGCTTGAGGTTAAAGGTCTCAGATGAGCAACTGAGTATGAAGCCACATTGATCACATGGTTCAAATTCAGTGGAGAAAGCAGCAGTTTGGGTCTCAGGTACTTCTACACACTTAAAAATTATAAATTAAAGTTTTGAGGGCCCTCAAGGGCTTTTCAGGAGCTCTGGTGGCATAGCGCCTAAGGTACTTGACTGCTAACCAGAAGGCTGGTGGTTCAAACCTACCAGCCACTCCTCAGAAGGAAGACTGGCAATCTACTTCTGTAGAGATACTGTCTTGGAAACCCAAGGAGGGGTTGCTATGAGTCAGGACCGACTCAATGGCAGTGAGTTTTTTTAAAGAGTTTTTAAGGAGCTCTGGTGGCATAGTGCCTAAGGCATTTGATTGCTATCCAGAGGGTTGGGGATTCAAACCCACCAGTCACTCTGCAGAAGGAAGATGGGGCAATCTACTTCCATAAAGATTTACTTTCTCAGAAACCCAATGGGGGTCACTATGAGTCAGAACCGACTCAATGGCACTGAGCTTGGTTTTAAACAGCTTTTGCTTATTTAGATTCTATCTCTTAATATTGACTTCATTAGAGATTGAAACTGAGAAAATTCTTAACATATTTTTAAAATTTATACTGAAATAACAATAACAAAACAGGTTTACAGGATAATATAAATAATATGCTTTAACAACTATTTTATTGTTTCCAAAGCAAAATAAATTTTGGTGAGAAATGTGGTATCATCATCATTATTATTTTAATCTTTTAGCAAATCGAATATCTAAATAAATCCTATGGGGCAATTCCATTCTGTTCTATAAAGTCATTATGAGTTGGAGTCAACTCAATGGCATTGGGGTGGGAGTACCTAAGTGTGTGGCTTAAGAGAAGATGTCCAGTTTCTCATATCTGCTTCCACATTCAATGTTATGTTATATCATCGGTTATGTTGGCTCTGGTGGCATAGTGCCTAAGGCATTTGACTGCTAACCAGAAGGCTGGTGGTCCAAACCCCCCAGCCACCCCATGGAAGGAAGACTGGGCAATCTACTTGTGTAAAGATTTACCGCCTCAGACACCTAAAGGGGGTCACTGTAAGTCAGAATCGACTCGAAGGCAGTGAGTTTGTTTTTTTTTTTTTTGGCGGAAACTACTGTACACTTGAAAGAGAATGAGAGTGAAAATGACAAGTGATGTCTTTGTATTATTATGAAAATAGTTTTAGCCCTTGCACCCCTCTAAGTGCATCAGGAATTCCCAGGAGTCCCCAGACCATGTTTTGATAACCAAGATAGAAGATCATGAAATTAAGTCAAGCATCCAAAATTACAGCTTACATACTAACAAGCGGTTTAAGATAATTCAGTGATCCAGGTTTAAAACTGGACTGGGAAAAAAATTTAAGTCAAAAGTATTACCACTGCAGTTACAAAGGGACCGTCTGGAAAGACTCAAGAATATATGCAAATAGGCAATTTGTTAAAATGACATTATGTATTTTTTTTAATTTTTGCTATTGTTGTTATAATATTACTTATACAATTTTGTTTTAACTAAAAGCACTAGACTGAGAGTTAGAAATAAAGTCTTGCTAATAGCAGGTTATAATTATCTTACTCAGGACATACTTCTTCAATGGTTCAGTTTTATTTTCTATAAAGTAAATTTTTAAAGTAAGTTTGTATGGCTCTTATAGTTTACAAAGCATTTTCACTTAGACTACATCCTTGATTTCTCACAGAAACCCTATGTTTTGGTTACTTTGTGCCACTCTAAAAGAAAATGCCACAAATGGGTGGCTTGAACAAACACAAGTTTATTATCTTACGGTTTTGGAGGCTAGAAGTCCAAGTTCAAAGTGCCAGGTCTAGAGGCTGGGTGAAAGCCCCTTGACCTTGGGCTTCAGCTCTGCCTCTTGCTCCTGGCCCACTGAAGCTTTAGGTGTTTCTCTTCACTCAGGCAGCTACTGGCTGCTGTGGCTGACAAGCCCAAGGTTGGAAAATAAAATGGCACAGTCCCGATGTTACCAAACCACACAGCAGGCTGTTTCAAGTCCCATTAATAGTCCCAAGATTGCAGACAACATGGCAGGCTGCTGAATACTCTACTACAAGCAGGATTCAAGCGTGCCAAAAGCTGGAGACCTTCCTCAAAATTGCTTCTTATATACTGGAAGCAGACCATATCCTTAAGGCAGCCACTCAGCTGCTCCAGTAGATTCTACCATGGAGCTGATTACCAGTCTCACCATGGGGAATAACTACATTCAGCTGCCCAGCCACTCAAAACCAGGCCCAGCCAAGTTGTCACATAACCTTAACTGCCACACCCTATAAGGCAGGTATTTTTATGCCTATTTCACAATGATATAGTGAAGTCTAAAACCAAAACCAAACTCACTACCATTCAACTTGAATCCGACTCATAGAGACCCTTCCTTGGGTTTCCGAGCCAGTATCTCTATGGAAGTAGATTGCTCAGTCTTCCTTCTGGGGAGTGCCTTCTGGTTAGCAATCAAATGTCTTAGGCACTATGCCACGAGAGCTCCCATAAGCAAACCAAAACCAAACTCCCTGCTGTGGAGTCGGTCCAACTCTGACCCATCCTTGGGTTTTCGAGGTGGTATTGCTACAGAAGTAGATTGTCCAACCTTCCTCCCTCAGAGTGGCTGGTGGGTTTGAACTGCCAGCCTTCTGATTAGCGTCAAATGCCTTAGGCACTACACTCCAGAGCCCCCAGAGCTCCCATAGTGAGATCCAACAACTGAAAAGAAAAAAAACAAAAAAACACCAAAGTTATTGCCATCAAGGGATCCTGACTCATACCGACCCCTCCTTGGGTTTCAGAGGTGTTCTCTATGGAAGTAGATTGCCCAACCTTCTTTCCGAGGAGTAGCTGGTTAGCAGTCAAATGCCTTAGGCGCTAGGCCACCAGAGCTCCCACTAACCAGTATAGAAGCATAAAAATAGCTTCATGGTTTCTACTCTCCTTCTTTCAGTCTTTTATTTATATCTTTATTCATTCACTTTCTCAGCATATCTAGCACCAGAAATGTGTCACCCATGTACACAAATGCCAGTGGAAAAGATAGACTCTACCTTCTTGGAATTTCTTTTTAATTACGACTAAACAAAGAATGAATACAATTCCAGAATGTGTATGGTGCCCTTAAGGAAAATTAGAGGAATAGAGTGAGGTGGGGGCTACTTAAGATAGCAAGGTTAGGGAGGGTCTTCTGGAGGAGGTGAAAATTTTACTAAGACCTGAGGACTAAAAAAGAGGCAGCCCTGGGAGAGCTGGGGGAAGAGGTAAAAAGAAGCAGGAATAGGGGTGCCTAAGAGCCCTAAAGCAGGAGCAGGAACCTCAATGGAAGAATGAACTGACTAGTTGAAGGAACATGGAGAGGCCCATGTGGTCAGTGCAAAAATGGAGGATGGGATGGGCAGGAGAGTAAGACAGAAAACAGGCCACCTAGGGCCTCATAGCAAATTGTTGAGATTCAAACAGAAGCAGAGTCTTTTTGAAAACCAAAGTCTAAATAAACAGAAAATGTCTGGAGTCACCAAAATGTTTTCATTTTCTGTTCCCCAATGAACTCCTCATTCTGAACAGCATGAAAAATTTAATTGCTTAGAATTTCCCCCTTTTTTCTGTGTTTGGAGGTTGACAGTGAAGAGGAGTAGAGTATGGAGAAAAGTGAACTGGCCCCTGAGACCCTTCTCCCCATCTTTGGGAGTGATCCCACAGGCTTGGTACAAGACTGGATGGTAATCACAGCCCTCTCTTCACTGGCTGAGGCCAAAAGCCTCCATTTTTGTGATCCTACTGAAATCAAGTCAAGTCAAAACTCGATTATTTCCCCCACCCTGGTTAACACAGATGTTTAGAACTGATAGGACCCCAGTTGGGAATAAATAAATAAACTTAATTACCCTCAACTATTTCCCCACCCCAGTTAAGACAAATAGGACCCCAGTTGGAGACAGATGAGTAAACATATAGGACCCCAGTTGGAGACAGATGAGTAAACACAATAAGCTCAGTTCCTTAAGAACTGAATGGAACAAAAAAAACATTCTTTCCTGCTATTTCCTTAGGCACAGGTGATAAATGTGTTAATGTGTCTTAGAAAACAACTTGAAAATTAAGTCTGGCCCATGGACATGCACAGTGGGACAGAGAGGAACAAAGTTGCTGGGAACTAACACTCTCCCCTCTGCCTAAGCCCTGATCAGCTGATGACAGAAAGCCGGTATGACTCATCCGGTACGCAAGTGCACTGAATTAAAAACCTACTGTCTCTTTAAACTGAGGCAAAGGAAATTTCAGCCAATCATCAACCATTTCATGC